TTAAATCATTTGAGGTCACGTTGAATCATTTGAGGCCACGTTGAATCATTTGAGGTCACGTTGAATCATTTGAGGTCACGTTGAATCATTTCAGTGGTAGGTTGTGATTGATGCCCAGGTACCTATTTACCGCTAAGTGAAGAGGGTTCACAGGTGTAATGTGACCTTCTGGTGGCCTGGTGGTTAACGCTCTCGCTTCACACGGTGAGGGCCTGGGTTCGATTCCCAGCCAGAGTAGAAACATTGGACGTGTTTCTTTCCACCTGTTGTCTATGTTCCCCATCAGTAAAATGGGTACCTGGGTGTTAGTCGACTGGTGTGGGTCGCATCCTGGGACACTGACCTAAGGAGGCCTGGTCACAGACCGGGCCGCGGGGGCGTTGACCCCCGGAACTCTCTCCAGATAAACTCCAGAATACCTCTTGCTCTGCCTTGGGATCGAACCCGGATATTTTGGTTGTGAGCTGAGCGTTTTGTAGCTAAACTACTGATCTCCGGTCCTACATTTTAGTGAATGTAATTTCGCTTATCGTATTTAAAACGAATACCAACTTACAGGGCCTGTGAGACGGGGGGGGGGGAGGTAGGTTCAGCGGGTAAACTGGTCCGGGGCCCGACTGTGAATCTCTGAAGGGGCCCCAGACCCGTAGACTTTTATTTTTTATTTATTTCATTAGAGTTTTCTTGGCAGTTTCAACAATTTTTAGTTTATTTTGGTAAATAATCATCTGAAATTCACTTAGGCTAAGGCCCTCTAAGCCTACCCCCCAGGGGCCCCCAAGCACTCCTCTCAGGCCTTGCAGAATCTCTCGGAGGTCCTGGGAACGGGATACGGGACTAGGAATAATTGCGATTCCCTCATAAAACAAAATGCTATCGCCTGTGAGGTGAGTGAGATTAATAATTTACAACTGGACAACTTCCGTAATTTACATTCATCATGTTTATGCTGTCTACCCGGGAACATTATGTTCCTGCCCCTATTTTTTTTTATACATTCATCTTCCAGTCGGTGGTAACTATCGTCGTGGACGCCATTATGTATAGTAATTTTGACACTGCGTCAGTAAATGTGCTATTTTGACGCTGCATCAATAAATGTGCGTCAATAGATGTGCTATTTTGACACTGCGTCAGTAAATGTACTATTTTGACGCTGCGTCAGTAAATGTGTTATTTTGACGCTGCGTCAGTAAATGTGCTATTTTGACGCTGCGTCAGTGAATGTACTATTTTGACGCTGCGTCAGTAAATGTGCTATTTTGACGCTGCGTCAGTAAATGTACTATTTTGACGCTGCGTCAGTAAATGTACTATTTTGACGCTGCGTCAGTAAATGTGCTATTTTAACACTGCGTCAGTAAATGTACTATTTTGACGCTGCGTCAGTAAATGTGCCATTTTGACACTGCGTCAGTAAATGTACTATTTTGACGCTGCGTCAGTAAATGTGCTATTTTAACACTGCGTCAATAAACGCACACTATAAGTCAGGTGTGTGAGCCACGTGCTGTTGACTATGTATTGCGAGAAAGAAAATCATTGACGTTGTCAGTGCAATAAGCAATAAACTGCGAGGTGTCTTACCTTTTTTCTCTCTCGGTAAAAATATTACAATTGTTATTATTACACAAGGGAATGTTAATGGCAGTGGACACCTGGATCCAGTCCTTATTGTTTGTTCTCGTTATTGTTTGTTTTTGTTGTTTGTTCTCGTTATTTGTGCTCCTTTTTTGTTTGCTCTCTTTTTTTTTGTTCTCGTTTTTGTTTCTCGTTTTTGTTTGTTCTCATTGTTTTTGCTCATTTCTTATTTGTTCTCGTTTTTGTTTGTTCTGTGTGCTCATTTTTGTTTATTCTCGTTGTATGTTCTCGTTTTCTTTTTGTTTTCATTGTTGTTTGTGCTCGTATTTTTCGTTTTTTGTGTTGCGGATTTAAATAAAGTATTTTAACAAATTTTCAGCACATATTGGCTGTTATTCTAAGTAAAAAAATAAAAACTTATTCGCTATATTTACAGTTCACTTTAATAAAACATTTCTCTTCGCTGGGTAGAAATTATTTATCAGTAATGTTATCAATATTATGGTCTTGACAACAGTGGGTTTTTTTCACTAATTTCTAATTATTTTGAAAAGCTCTCAGCCCTAACATGTATTATATTCACCACGAATGTTTTTTTTTTTGTAGTTATATTGTTAATTTGAAAACCATTGTGTCGGTATTTAGTTATTTCACTGGATTAATTCTGCTTTCTTGTTTTAAAAAAAAATGGACTAGATAGCCTCTTTTATATTTTTTTTTCTTAAAAGGACAGAAAATTTACCTTTTCAAATTTTTGTATCTTATCGATTTTTTTTCTGTATATTTTTTTAGTCAACACACACACACACACACACACCACACACACACACACACCACACACACCACACACACACACACACCACACACCACACAACACACACACATACATACACATAACATACACATACATATAAACGGGGGATGATGCGAGGATATGCCCCCGGCTATGCTCCCGGGATTCTTAGTCATTCGTATTAGGCAAAATATTTGAATGCAGCTTTTTCTAAGTTATACGAACAAAGCTCAAGCTTATGACGTTTCGGTCCGACTTTGACCATTTACAAAGCTCTCTCTTAGAAACCACTCAGATTAGTCAGGCCACTTTTTTTTGTCTTCTTCCTGTCTATCTACAACTCTTTCCTCTTTCCACGAAGCCTGGTTGGTCACAGACCCAGCCGCGGGGGCGTTGACCCCCGGAAACCCTCTTCAGGTATACTCCAGGCATCTTACCTCAGTCCTCCCATCCTTGCCAGCACTATAGCCTAAAAATGTAAATAATTTTATTCATCAAATAGTTGGAGAGCATAAAACTTTCTGGAATCAAAATTTCATAATTCTCTTGAGTTTATTTTACTGCCTTGACGCATTTTTTATATTGTCTTCAAATAAAATACTATTGCTTCTACGTCTTCTTCTTTACTGATGGTGATTTTCCTCGATGGTGGCTATGAGGCGTCTTCAGGAAGCTGCTGCCTGGAGACTGTGACGGAAATTCCACCACACAGATATTTCAGCCAAATACAAAGTCACCCAGGACAAACAGCAAATGGTCATTCATCTTGGAAGCTTCGATATAACAGTAGCCACAAGACGACTCCCCTTTAATCACCTCTACCGACGACTTTTCTGAAGATACAGAGCCAACAGGTGGTGATCGGCGAGATAAAATCGACAGTGACCTCTCCAGGAACAAGAGCACGCGAAATTCCCTGGAAGTTCATCCTGTTGTGAGAATAGATATCAATATGTCGCGTATGTATGTATGAAGATGAGGACTAACACAATGACTGCAAAAATGGTGCGACACCAGATACTCTCTGCCTTAATTTTTTGTATCCTGTATACCAAAGTGGGTCATTAATATCTTTATTATTCTCATTGGAAAAGTTGTTGACCTTGAGGGTCATAAAGCGCCTTTCCTGGAGTCAAACCTAATTACCTCCCATTCCTCAGACTCTGTATAAATCATACTGTTTAGTGGTTTCTCGTGATTAATAATAACAATAACACTGTTACTATAATCACACTATTAATAATCACAGTTAATAATAATCACACTGTTTTGTGTGATTATAATATAACACAGTTATGATGATAATCACATTATTAATAATAACACTGTTAAAAATAATCACACTAGTGGTTTCTCCTTAATAATAATAATAATAATAATAATAATAATCGAACATGCCCAACTAATTTAATTGCAGTTACTCAACAGTCTATTAGGACTTAGGACTGACTCTTGTGTTACTGCATTCTCAAGGGAGGTTCCTTGATGCTAATGCTGGTGAGGGGCCCTTGAGTCAAGGAACTGCATTTGTCCTCCCCTTCCTTGGATTGAGCCTGATTGCGAAGTGTTTCACATTCACCGTCTTGCCTTTGTCGTATTAAAAAAAATATTATTCAAGAAATTAAGCTTTCAAGAGTTTGGAAATCGCTTAAAATCTTATTCAGTGGTTGTGGAACTGACGAGAATTTGATAAAAACGTCAAATGATGGACATCGAGGGGCTCTTGGTTATTTTTTTTTCTACGTCCGAAGAGGCGGAGTTCAAGATGTGAGGAAACGATTGATTTTCTTTCGTACACATCGTTACGAACGGCCCCACTTGACATGTTTAGAATTCCACGATGTTTTTTTATATCTCTTGCCAGTTTGTACTCGTTAAAAGCGAGACATAGTTATATATGTTTGTCTGCTGTTGGAAGCTGTGTTTATAGTGCTTTTACTGAAGTGGAACACACATAGACACACACAACACACAACACACACACACACACACAAAACCACACACACACACACACACACACACACACACACCACACCACACACACCACACACACACACACACACACACACACTACACACACACACACACACAGAGACACAACACAAAACACACACACACACACACACACACACACACACACACACACACACACACACACACACACACACACACACACACAGAACACAGACACAAAACACACACACACACACACACAACACACACACACAGAACACAGACACAAAACACAACACACAACACAAAACACACACACACACACACACACACACCACACACACACACACACACACACACACACACAGAACACAACACAACACACACACACACACACACACACACACACACACAGAACACAGACACAACACACACACACACACACACACACCACACACACACACACACACACACACACACACACAACACACACACACACACACACACACACACACACACGAAGATTCCATGCTGGAAATTAAAAGTAGATATAATAGCAGTGCAACTTTTTAATGGGTGGGTGTTAATGAAGCTTGAAAGTGCCATCAGAGATTACAAGTGTCAGTTAGCTTGTATGTTACTGACGCACTTTCTGAAAGTGCTATTTACTTACCCTCATTTATTGAAAAGAGCGTCGACGACAGGCTTGTGTCCACGCTGTAGCTTCCTGGTGACTTCTCTCATACACACAGCCTGTGGGAAAATTTCAATGAAAAGTCTGTACTTTATCGCTGCAAAACACAGCCTGCAAGAAACGATCGCTGGTAAGTGTTTACTTATAATCAAATTAATATCTGCCGTAATCTATATATCCTTTATTGTTTTCTGTGCTTATAAATCGTTTTATTTCCTTTTAATTACACTGATGTACTTTTAAAGCAGTAAAAGAAAAAGCAATTAAAATTAATTCATTTATTTAATCTTTATACACACTAGTATTGATTTTGAGGTTAATATTTTCTTTGCGTTGGTTCTTGTTAATTTATAGTTGGAATAATTATCACAATGTGACATTTGGTTTTAACTACATTATGTTTTACAATTAAACCAGCTGTTCTGCTTGGTAATATTTCTTTGTATTAATTTCTGCGCTGAAGATAGTGTTTAAGGCCACGAATCGTTTGATAAAATAAAAAAAAACATATGTGATTCACTTAATTCAGGAGCAAAAACTTAAGGACAGAATATTAATGGGTTAAAAGAAGAGAAATTATCTCCTCCGTACTGATGTCAACACTGTAGACTGTAGTGTTAGCTGTTGACACTGTAGACTGTAGTGTTAGCTGTTGACACTGTAGACTGTAGTGTTAGCTGTTGACACTGTAGACTGTAGTGTTAGCTGTTGACACTGTAGACTGTAGTGTTAGCTGTTGACCTGTAGACTGTATGTTAGTGTGACACTGTAGACTGTAGTGTTAGCTGTTGACACTGTAGACTGTAGTGTTAGCTGTTGACACTGTAGACTGTAGTGTTAGCTGTTGACACTGTAGACTGTAGTGTTAGCTGTTGACACTGTAGACTGTAGTGTTAGCTGTTGACACTGTAGACTGTAGTGTTAGCTGTTGACACTGTAGACTGTAGTGTTAGCTGTTGACACTGTAGACTGTAGTGTTAGCTGTTGATACTGTAGACTGTAGTGTTAGCTATTGACACTGGACTGTAGTGTTAGCTGTTGATACTGTGGACTGTAGTGTTAGCTGTTGATACTGTAGACTGTAGTGTTAGCTGTTGACACTGTAGACTGTAGTGTTAGCTGTTGACACTGTAGACTGTAGTGTTAGCTGTTGATACTGTAGACTGTAGTGTTAGCTGTTGATACTGTAGACTGTAGTGTTAGCTGTTGATACTGTAGACTGTAGTGTTAGCTGTTGACACTGTAGACTGTAGTGTTAGCTGTTGATACTGTAGACTGTAGTGTTAGCTGTTGATACTGTAGACTGTAGTGTTAGCTGTTGACACTGTAGACTGTAGTGTTAGCTGTTGATACTGTAGACTGTAGTGTTAGCTGTTGATACTGTAGACTGTAGTGTTAGCTGTTGACACTGTAGACTGTAGTGTTAGCTGTTGACACTGTAGACTGTAGTGTTAGCTGTTAACACTGTAGACTGTAGTGTTAGCTGTTGACACTGTAGACTGTAGTGTTAGCTGTTGACACTGTAGACTGTAGTGTTAGCTGTTGACACTGTAGACTGTAGTGTTAGCTGTTGACACTGTAGACTGTAGTGTTATTTGATACTGTAGACTGTAGTTTTAGTTGAAACTGTAGACTGTAGTGTTAATTGTTGACTGTAGACTGTAGACTGTAGTGCTTGTTGATACTGTAGACTGCATTGTTAGTTGATACTGTAGACAGTAGTGTTAGCTGTTGACTGTAGACCGTAGTGTTGTTGATACTGTAGAGTGCGTTGTTAGTTGATACTGTAGACAGTATTGTTAATTGACACTGTAGACTGTATTGTTGACACTGTAGACCGTAATGTTAGTTGCTGACACTGTAGACCGCATTGTTAGTTGACAGTGTAAACCGCATTGTTAGTTGACAGTGTAGACCGCATTGTTAGTTGACACTGTAGACTGTATTGTTAGTTGACACTGTAGACTGTATTGTTAGCTGACACTGTAGACTGTATTGTTGACACTGTAGACCGTAATGTTAGTTGTTGACACTGTAGACTGTAATGTTAGTTGCTGACACTGTATACCGCATTGTTAGTTGACAGTGTAGACTGCATTGTTAGTTGACACTGTAGACTGTATTGTTAGTTGACACTGTAGACTGTATTGTTAGTTGACAGTGTAGACTGTAGTGTTAGTTGTTGACACTGTAGACTGTATTGTTAGTTGTTGATTCTGTAGACTGTAGTGTTGTTGATTTTGTAGACTGTAGTGTTAGTTGTTGATTCTGTAGACTGTAGTGTTAGCTGTTGATACTGTAGACTGTATTGTTGTTGATTCTGTAGACTGTAGTGTTAGCTGTTGATACTGTAGACTGTAGTGTTGTTGATTCTGTAGACTGTAGTGTTAGTTGTTGATTCTGTAGACTGTAGTATTAGTTGTTGACACTGTAGACTGTAATATAGGAAAGCACTGGTTTGGTAATAGAGTTGTGGATGAGTGTAACAAACTCCCGAGTACCGTCATAGAAGCTAAAACCTTGTGTAGTTTTATGAATAGGTTGGATAAATGCGTGAGTGGGTGTGGGTAGGTGTGAGTTGGACCTGACTAGCTTGTGCTACTAGGTCGGATGCCCTGCCCCTCCCTTAGGTGACGTGTCTAACCTCACTAGGTCGAGGCATTGGCTTAAGCCGGTGGGAGAATTGGACCTGCCTCGCATAGGCCAATAGGCCTGTTGCAGTGTTCCTTCTTTCTTATGTTGTTGACGCTGTAGACTGTAGTGTTAGTCGTTGACACTGTAGACTGTGGTGTTGTTGACGCTGTAGACTGTAGTGTTAGTCGTTGACACTGTAGACTGTGGTGTTGTTGACGCTGTAGACTGTAGTGTTAGTCGTTGACACTGTAGACTGTAGTGTTTGTCGTCGACATTGTAGACTGTAGTGTTAATTGTTGACACACTACACTGTAGTGTTAGTTATTGACACTGTAGACTGTAGTGTTAGTTATTGACACTGTAGACTGTAGTGTTAGTTATTGACACTGTAGACTGCATTGCGTATAATTTCAAAATGAATAACAAAAAAGGCACAATACCGTGACTGGAACGATACACAAATAACCCGCACATAGAAGATAGGAGCTTACGACGACGTTTCGGTCCGATTTGGACCATTTACTAAGTCACACCGTGTGACTTTTGTGTTATTTGTGTATTCAGAATGAACAAATGGTAGTTTGCAGAACAGTTATATATTGCAACTACATTTCGCTCTATGCAGTTTTATTAAGTCATTCCTATGGCTTGATGGATCTCCACAGAGCGAAACGTTTTCCCAATAATAGTTTGTCCTGTAAACTTTCTCTTTTTCTCAGTTTTCGGCAATGCGCAATTTAGTGCCCATTTAAAAATGATTAGATACTGTATTATACATCTCACTTCACCTCAATGTTTTTGTATACATTTTCACGTCTTTTGATTTATCAGTTTCTCAAATTAAAACGAAAATATACGAAACTGAATGAAAATTTTTAAGAATATTTCAATTTTTTATTTTTTTTTGCCTATTTTGGGTGACTAAAGTGTTTATTTACTCTTATGATATAGGCTGGTATAGTCATAACGTATCTACGGAAAGGTAGCCTCGTCTTAACGTAGAATAACGTATATTTTCCGTAGACGTTGGGATCGGGGAGATCCTGGACTCTACCACAGCTTGCTAAGTAAGACCTCCACAGCAGGCTTCTTCAGTCGAGTATAGAGGAGGCAGCAGAAGCAGTAGAGATGTAGATACGAAAGCAAGAGTATGGAGACTTATTTATCATGGCACAGCCTGCTTCCCCGTGCGGGACGCGTCAGTCCTCTTGTCACGTCGACTTCACGAATTTAGTGACCGTGAATCAATACCTGCGTGCTATTCGTGCGAGTAGCTGTCGCTCTCCCGCTGTTATAACCCGTCAATAACACGGGTCGAAAGTGCCGGCTCGATTGCACTGATTTCCGCTGAAGTCGATGGCTAATTAAGTTTCTTGAGTTGATGGGAAATCGTTCGTGTAACCTGATGAAGACTGTGTGGTTTGTTGTGTCTGAGGTATTATTGGTATTAATACATGAGCAAATTATGACGACAGGACGTCACGAGAGGTATACTAAGCAAATCCAGTAGCATGAATAGTGATAAAATAAACTCATTCGATAGCACTTGTAATATTTGAGAGTACACAGTGGTGTTTGAGAGAACACAGTGATGTTTCAGAGTACAAAGAATATAACGAGCAGATTCGATAACGTATTGTATAATAATGATATTCGACTGAATAAGGTGAATATATCGAGTATAATAAACTTATTTAATAACTCGTGAATTTAAAAAAAAAAAACATCACTGAGTTTATATACATATAATAAACATAGAATCATAGTAATTATAATCAACAGCAGGTGAAGTTTTAAGGAGAATATTCAACAGCACGTGGTGTTATAATGAACATATTCAACAGTACGTGGTGTTATAATGAACATATTCAGCAGTACGTGGTGTTATAATGAACATATTCAACAGTACGTGGTGTTATAATGAACATATTCAACAGCACGTGGTGTTATAATGAACATATTCAACAGCACGTGGTTTTATAATGAACATATTCAACAGCACGTGGTGTTATAATGAACATATTCAACAGTACGTGGTGTTATAATGAACATATTCAACAGCACGTGGTGTTATAATGAACATATTCAACAGCACGTGGTGTTATAATGAACATATTCAACAGTACGTGGTGTTATAATGAACATATTCAACAGCACGTGTTATAATGAATATATTCAACAGTACGTGGTGTTATAATGAACATATTCAACAGCACGTGGTGTTATAATGAGCATATTCAACGGCACGTGAGGTTATAATGAACATATTCAACAGCACGTGGTGTTATAATGAACATATTCAACAGCACGTGGTGTTATAATGAATATATTCAACAGCACGTGGTGTTATAATGAACATATTCAACAGCACGTGGTGTTATAATGAACATATTCAACAGCACGTGGTGTTATAATGAACATATTC